CAAAGGCAAAACTACATAGAATCAGATAACCTTAAAGTTTGTGCTCTAAACAATGCATAATTTTCCTTTGAAGATAGTAATTTTTTATTCTATTTCAGAACCATTCACAATTTTCTTTTACATCCTATACTTGGTATTAAAATAATCACTGACAAGTTTTTTAAAATAGCAAAAAGAATTTCAGATGTTTACGTTAAAGTGAAATAATACTGTAATATCTATCTATACATATATATTGCTTTTCATAGAATATTTTTCTTATTCTGTAGTAATTAGTCATAGAAATGCTTAAACCTCCTTTTTTTGAATTTGAAATAAAAATTTATAGTAATAAAAAATAAAATAGTGTTTGCAATTCCAAGAAATAAAAATGCTTAATGATCAATTCTGTGCATGTGTATGTGTGCATTACATCAGAAGGTATACCCACTATCCTTTTGCATATGAGATCCTCCTAAACCTTGTTAAAGTTAGGCACTAAATTAGGTACTACATGAACGGTATTTTTTCTGATATTTTGGGACTAAGAAAGGTGCTTAGTTATTAAAAAATTATGTATTATATATACAGGGAGACACACATATTCCCTTAACAGAATTAGGATGACTGTTGAAATTTTAGCAACATGTAATGACTATAACTTTATCTATTTAGAAAAGTGATTACATCCACGAGAAGTATTCATTTAACCTTATCCATGGACAGTTACAGGAAGTTTCTTTAATGGCAAGTAACTCAGCTGTTACATACTGACTAGATCAGGTTTAAGTTGGCAGGTTTTTTGTTTTGTTTTGTTTTCTAAACGTAGTGTGGTCCCTTTAGAGCCTAAGGTCCTATTCTATCCTGAGTTATCTATATGGATTTGCCCTCCAAATTAGCATGAGTGAAGTGAATCTTCTAAAATGTACCAACTGTACAGAGAAAGGGAGGAATTAACCAATGAATATATTAAGCAAATAAGGATCAGAATGGAGGGGAAGGGGATGGGGTATTCAGTTAGATGATTTTTTGTTTTACCCCTAATGAATTCATCAATTTAATCTCTTACTGCTGGTTGCAATATTGGGTTGACAACCTATAATTTGTTCAATCATTCAGTATAATTTCATTGTGATTTTGCTAAATGCTAGTCACTGTTCTAGGTATTTGGGATACAGAATATAGTCTTACTGAAAACAGCCTGTCAGAGGAGATGGACAAGTTAAATTTTTTGATAAATTGCAATATGTGTTAAGATAGAAATTATTTTCTCAGCTAGTGTTGTCAATTTTAAATGAAGTATAAAAAATGTGCTAATTTCTCTTTGAAAAGCAGGTAGTTTAACTTTGAAAGAAAATCCCAATTTTAAATTGAATTACTTAAATTTATTTAATCTAGTTAAATGCCTTATTGGGTATACTAAAATAGATTGATTTTTTATTCAACACTTTTGAAATCAAAACTGGAAAGTGTTTTGAGAAAATTCTGGATACAGATTCAACTATAAGAAGAGAGACCCTAAATACCCTTACTCAGTTCCCCCAGTGATAACATCTTGCAAAGCTGTAGTACAATAATATTACAACCAGAATGTTGACATTAATATAGTCTAGATACTGAAAAACCCATCATCACAAGGGTAATTCTTGTTGTCCTTTAAAAGCCATACCAATTTCCTCCTCAATTCTTGTCCCTGACTTCTGGTAACCAGTAATATGTTCTCTATTTCTATAAGTGTGTTCTTTCAAAATGTTATATAACTGCAATCATGTAGCATTGTGAACATTTAGGATTGTCTTTTTTCAGTCTGCATTGTTCCCTGGAAATTTATCCCATTTATTGTGTTTATCAATAATGAACTCATTTTTAGTGAACAGTATCACATCGTATGGATGTACTATAGTTTGTTTAATCATTCATCTTTTGAAGGGCATCTGTGTTATTTCTGATTTTGGCTATTATGAATAAAACTCCTATGCATTCGTACCTGCATTTGCATGAAAACATATTTTTATCTCTTTGGAAAAAATGTGTAAGAGGGCATTTTACTTTATTGTATGTTTCATGTTTAGTTTTATAAGAAACTTCGAAATTGTTTCTAGAGTGGTTTACCATTTTACATTTCTGCCAGCAATGTATGTACGAGTGATTCAGTGTCTCTATATCCTCGTAGCATTTGGTGTTGCTCCTGTATTTTTTATTTTAGCCATTTTGACAGGATTGAAATGATATCATGATTTTAATTGCATTTTCCTAATAGCTATTGATGTTAAATATCTTTCCATGTGATGATTTGCCATCTGTATGTCTTCTGTGAAATGTTTATTCATGTCTCTTGCCCATTTCTAGTGGGATTTTTTTTTTTTCATTTTACTGTTGAGTTTTAAGAGTTCTTTCTGTATTTTTGTTATGAATCCTTCATCAGATATGTGACTTGCAAATATTTTCTTTAAGTCTATAAGTTGTCATTTCATCCTTTAGCAGGATATTTCTCAGAAAAATTTTAAAAACGTTGAGGAGAACCAATTATCTTTTTTATTTTTATGGATAATGTTTTTGTTGTCAAGTCTGAGAACTCTTTGCCTACCCTGAGATCCAAAAGATCTTCTGTAGGCTGACTTATATATTTTTTTAAGAGTTTATTTATTTATTTGAAAGAGAGAGAGCACAAGTTGGGGGGTGGGCAGAGGGAGAGGAAGAGGGACAAGCAGACTCCCTGCTGAGTACAGAGCCTGATGTGGGGCTGAGTCCCAGGACCCTGAGATCATGACCTGAGCTGAAGTCAGACACTTAACCAACTGAGTGACCCCGGTGCCCCTCTAGGCTGACTTTTAAACATAAATGACTTTAAAAAAAAAAAGCTATGACTCTCGGATCTGTGTTCTGTTCTTTCTAATTTTGTAATGTTCCAGGAAAGATTAGGAATATCAGATTTGTATTTAAAATTAATTTGGGGTCACCAAAAGCTCTTTCTTTCTTTCTCTTTCTTTCTTTCTTTCTTTCTTTCTTTCTTTCTTTCTTTCTTTCTTTCTTTCTTTCTTTCTTTCTTTCTTTCCTTTTCTTTCTTTCTTTTTCTTTCTTTCTTTCTTCTGTCACTTTACCTTAAATTTGAATGTATATACTGAGAGTCCTTGTGAAAAATAAAAAATTCCATGGGTAGGGAGACACTTAACGCATTACTAGATATACTGAATTAGTTGAGCAAATTCTTGTTAGGATTCTCAGAAAATGGACCAAAAACAAATGTTTTGATGATAATTTGATAAATATAAAGCAGACAGATGGAAAATCGTTAAGCGCCTGAGAACGGCATATAGCTGCTTGTGAAGGTAAATTATGATAATGCTCCTTTAGAAGAGGGGCAGAGTAATATCAAAATAAAACTTTTCTTATATTTTTCCAGACCTTATCCTATCTGTATTTTAATTGTGTTTTCTCAGGAATCTATAAACAATATTCATTGCCATGATAAAGAGTATTGTATTGATAATGCATGCACATTTTTATTCTTATTAAAATAAGGCAGAAGAGTTAATCTTAGAACATTTCATATCCTACAGGTAAAGTAAATCTATGAAATTTTCTTAATTGAATTTAATAACACATCAATCTACTAAATAAAATGATACTTTTTATATAATTTTCCTGCTTATAATGGGAATGTCTCCAATGTTTAATCATTAACCATTATGCTTATTTTCTATTTGAAACAAAATTTTTAAATAATTCATACCATAATGGCATAACTCAAAACTCAAGAATGGATATAGGTTATCATCAAATATAATTTTGGCATATAAAACTCAATTTTTTTATATATGTCTTCTTTTGTTATGACATTTCCCAAAACTATGATGATTTTGTGATTCCTGAAGTAATCCTTTTTGACATGGAATATAATTATTTTAATACTTTTCTGATAGTTTATTATTATTCCTTCTATAGGTAATAAATGCAATATTAGTCTGAAGTTTCCTTTTCCTGTACAATTATCTTATAATTTCTGCTGAGTTTTATTGTAGCCTTATGAAATTACTATAATATGTCCTTAATTTAATTTTTAAAAAAATTAAATAGGATAAAATTTTTTTCACTCTTTAAAGCCCCCAAATAACTTATTATTATGAAGGTATATTTTCTTGAGATAATTATTTGAAAATATTCTCATTTGTCTTACAATTATTGATTTATTCAGATACATGACAAAGTCTATACTAATATTTGGTAATTTTTGAGAGCTTAAATATGTCTTAGCACAAAATTTTATTTTTTATATCTTATTTTGATTATTAACATAGCTTCACAAAACTCTGAACTTATTTTATCTTCATCCTAGGTGTTTTAATTTTGCAAGTGGACTTTATATTCAGTATTTTATTCTCAATGTATACTTCATCACATTGCAGAGACTGTTGCCATGGTCATTTGTAATATATTTAGATTTTGATGTGCCTCGTGCATGATTGATTGATTATTTTAAGATTTTATTTATTTGAGAGAGAGAAAGAGAGAGAGAATGAGAAAGGCAAGCACGAGCAGGGGAGAGGGGCAGGGGAGAGGGACAAGCAGACTCCCTACTGAGCAGCGAGCCTGATGCAGGACTCCATCCCATCATGACCTGAGTCGAAGGCAGACGCTTAACTGAGCCACCAAGGCACCCCATGATTTATTTTTTAATGTATTTTTAATCTACAATAAATGGGATGCCCAATTTACAATGCCCTGAATTCAATGCACTTTAATTAAATGAAGAAAATCAATTATATATTTAATTATTAAATAAACTTTTAGTCTTCTATTGAATCAAAATTGTATTAATTCTTACCATTTTAATAATCCATCTATTCTACTGGTCTGGAGATCACACATTTGTTTTTAATCTTTTCAACCTTAATCAGATTCTTTTTTTTTTTAATTGGAGTATTTTTATTTTATGTGCAATGAGTTGGCATTAAAGTAGGTATCTTGGATATCTGCAGTTAAGGTAGGTTATCTTGGATGACCAGTTCAAGGAAGTTCCCTTAATCCAACTTAATGAAGCCTACATCCTTCGCATATTGACGGAAACGCTGGCGGCACATAATGAGGCCATATTTCCGGATCAGACCGTGCCGGCTTGAGCAGACACGGCAAGAACGAGAACCCTGGCCAGATTTCCTCAGATCGCTCCAGTACAGCTGCTGGTGACCCATCTTGCTCTTTAAGATGAAACGAGGCCTTAATCAGATTCTTAATTTAAATTAATATGTCAATAACGTCAATTTAAAAAAAATATTTCCTTCTAGGAATATTACAAAGATGATGTAGTAGTTATCACCAGTTGCTCTTCAATATCCATACATCCTTTCTTCCATCTAAGAATAGAGGAAGTTTTAATAGACATTCATCTTTTGTATATTGTCCTTTCTCCTTCTTCCTGTCTGGATCTTGGTTGTTATATCTGAAAGTGGAATAGCCATTTTGCAACCACAAGGAATGTGATAGTTTCTATGGGTCGGGAATTTGGGTCATAGCTTAGCTGGGTGCCTATGCATGTGATTATAGTCAGAAATTTAGCCTGGACTGCATTCTCATCTGAAGGCTCATCTGAGAGAGGGTCCACTTCCAGACTTAATTAATATGTGATTCTTGAAAGAATTGATTGTTGATATAAAGCCCTCAGTTTCTCAATGTTTTTTCCTTGTCATGTCATTATCTCCACAGGGAAGCTCATTACATGGCAACTGGCTTAACTCAGTGAGTGAGAGAGAATTTCTAGATAGAAGCCAGTCTTTTTGCAATCTTATTTCAGAAGTGATATTTCATCACCTCAGTGGCATTCTATTTGCTGTGAGTCAATAAGCCCAACCCACACTCTAGAAAAAGGAGGAGATTACACAAGGTTGTAAAGGCCAGGAAGCAGGGATGATTGGGTCCCATCTAAGAATGTATCTACCATAAGAAATGACAACACAAGCTTGGAATGTTAGAGTTTATTCCTTTCCTCATGAGAAAAGGACATTTAAAGTTATTAACAATGTCTTTATGTTTTCTCGTAGCTACCATTAAGAGGTTTGTAGAATCACTCTAAATATTTATATTGATCTCTTTGGACACTTAAAGAATGTTTGAAGGATTATTAACTTAGTCCCTGACAGTATCATTGAACAGCTACACTATTCTTGAAATTCTACTTATGGAATTCTTGTCATGTGATCCCTACTCATACATCCCCCCCACCAAAAAATTAGAGGTGAAAATAAATAATTAAAAGGTTTGCTAAGCCACTGTACATAGCCTGTGTGCAATCCTAGAATAATACAGGTGATATATCCTCTGAGTTCCTCTATGTCGGATGGCATGTGGCTGCCGTCTTGTTGTGTCCTTACATGATGTTTTCTCTGCGTGCACACATTCCTGGTGTCTCTCTCTCTGTGTTTAAATTTCCTCTTCTAATAAGGATACCAATCAGATTGGATTAGTATCTATCCCAACAGCCTTATTTTAACTTAGTCACCTCTCCAAAGGCCCTATCTCCAAATACAGTCACATTCTGAGGTATTGGGGGTTACCTCAGGAAGTTCATAAGAGACACTGAGTGTCAACATTTGAAATGGGGGGGGCACAATTTAGCACAATTTCGTATATACACATACCTATAATTGTTTTTGTCACTATCCATTATTGTGTATGCATATATATGGTCTGAACCATTCCAGACCTCTGCCTGATTTTGCCCTCTGTTTATGCAAGCTCACATATCTGAGCTTAAACTAGAAGTGGTAAGTGGTAAGTGTTAAATGTTTTAAGTTGAACTCAATAGTAAACAGTATACCTTAAGTTGAGTAAATACATCAATTAAAAACTTAGTGAATAATTATTGTCATTCTTTTGTGATGCAAATTCTAATTTATCCTTCAACAAATTTTATATTATGTATGGTTTACTTATAAGTATTGCAGATTTAAAATATTTAAATTAATGATCCTTTAGATCCATAAGATCTACATAAATATTAGAGCAATTCTATAAACCTTCTGGGAGTGTCTATAAGAAATTTAAAAAATAGGCATATCTGGGTGGCTCAGTCGGTTAAGCATCTGCCTTCAGCTCAGGTCATGATCCCAGGGTCCTGGGATTGAGTCCCGCATTTCATCAGGCTCCCTGCTCAGTGGGGAGCCTGCTTCTCCCTCTGCTTGTTGCTCCTCCTGCTTGTGCGCTCTCTCTCTCTCTCTCTCTCTCTGACAAATAAATAAATAAAATCTTAAAAAAAAGAAATTAAAGATAGAGAACAAGTACTTTAAATATTTTCCCAAATAACAACTGTATACAAAATCAGAAAGCAAGGAAGCATTTGGTGTTCCCATTCCAGTTTTGCATCCACCACCTTTCCCCCCTGCTAGCTTTGCAGCCTCTCTAAATTCCTCAGATGACCAGTGAACTCATGTTTGTTGATGCCCATTTTGTGAAGAAATTCCTAAAAAAAAAAAAAATTGATAAGAACATTTGTGCTTAATGTCCACAATAGCCAAAATATGGAAAGAGTGCAGATGTTCATTGACAGATGCATGGATAAAGAAGATGTGATTATATATATATATATGGAATATTATTCATCCATCAAAAAGAATGAAATCTTGCCATTTGTAGTGACATAGATGGAGCTAGAGGGTATTATGTTAAGTGCAGTGAGTCAGTCAGAGAAAGACAAATACCATATAATTTCATTCATATATGGAATTGGAGAGACAAAACAGATGAACCTAGGGGAAGGGAAGGAAAAATAAAATAAGATGAAAACAGAGAGGGAGGCAAATCATAAGAGACTCTTAGCTATGGGAAACAGACTGAGGGTTGCTGGAGGGGAGGCTGGTAAAGGGAATGGGGTGATTGGGTGATGGACATTAAGGAGGGCACTTGAAATAATGAGCACTGGATGTTATACTCAACTGATGAATCACTGGATTCTACCTCAGAAACCAATGGTACAATATATGTTAATTAAATTGAATTTTTTTTTTTTAAAGAACATTTGCACTCAAGGCTAAGAATTGCTAGTAACAATATGTTAATTCTCTTATTTTAATAGGAAACTATGGTTTAAACCAAAAGAATATTGGACAGAAGTAGGATTTTTTTCTTTCTTTCTATGGCAGGAGTTGGTGAAGAGATGCGGAAGTATATATATTAATTTAGTATCTTCTCTGTTTAGTCACAATGCTAGGTCTTGTCATGTTATCTTACATGACTTGAACTGTATCTTCCACAAATTCATGTCTATCCCAAATATGTGAATATAACCTTATTTAGAAATAAGGTCTTTGGAGCCCTGAGTGGCTCAGTCAGTTAAGCATCTGCATTCGGCTCAGGTCATGATTCTGGAGTCCCTGGATCGAGCCCCGCTTCAGGCTCCCTACTCAGCGGATAGCCTGCTTCTCCCTCTGTCCCTCACCCAACTTGTGCTCTCTCTTTCACAGTCACTCTCTCTGTCTCTCAAATAAATAAATAAAATCTTAAAAAAAAGAAAGTTCTTTGCAGCTGTTTAATCAAATTAAGATGGGGTTAGAATGGTCCCTAAATTCAAGATGATTGTTGTCTTTATAGGAAGAAGGAAATTTGAGATTTTTTTTTTTTTTTTATTCATGAGAGACAGAGCGAGAGAGAAAGGCAGAGGGAGAAGCAGGCTCCCAAGGAGCAGGGAGCCCGATGCGGGACTCGATCCCAGGACCCTGACATCACGACCTGAGCCGAAGGCAGACGCTTAACCATCTGAGCCACCCAGGCGCCCAGGAAGAAGGAAATATGAACACAGAGACACAGGCACACAAGAGAATGTCATGTGAACATGGAGGCAGAAATTGGAGTTATGCTGCCTCAAGCCAAGAAATGGTAAAAATTGTCAAACCACCAAAAGCTATAAGAAGCATACATTGACTATCTTAGAATTCTAAGCAAAAAAGTTTTAGAAATGGGAAACTGAGTTTTTAGAAATTAAATGATTTGTTACAAACATAGGTTCATAAGAACAGAAACATTGTTTCTGAACAAAGCTCATGCAACCACTATTACGCTAGCTGGCTGATATTTTTGAATTATCTAAATTTATCATATAGAGGGAGAAAAATTTATTCCTACAATTTCCCTGAATGAAATTCACTGATAGGAATGCATATATGCACATACACACACACTTTCAAACATATCACTTTATACCTAATAAACGTGAATTATTTCATAGCCCTATTGAAGTATCAGGTTTTATAATCCCAAGACAAATCATTAGGAGAAAGATCTCAGCATCATCAGACTGTAAGAGTAAAACAGTTGATATACATAATAGATTTTTGGGTAAAGTGGGTGTTTAGAGCTATGAGAAAATAAAATCAATACCTCAAAACTAGGTTATAACACAAGGGAACAGCCAGACTTGATATCTCTGATTCATGTTTATTATAATTAATCTCAGGATATGATAGATTGGATGACATTCCTGCCCTCTCTAGGTAGCAACTTTCTTAGTAAGGTACAGGAAAGAGAGAGAGAGATTGAGATGGAGAGAGAGAAAGAAGAGAACAAGAAGAGAGTTAAACTAGAATTGTAACAGGGTAGCAAGTACTCATGATAGAATCTGATCATTATTTTAGAACAATGCTTGGCATATGTTAGGTGCTCAATAAGATTGTGTTGGATAATGAAAAAAGGGCTTGGTTCTTTTGTTTTAGTTTTTATTTAAATTCCAGTTAGGGGCACCTGGGTGGCTCAGTTGGTTGAGCGACTGCCTTCGGCTCAGGTCATGATCCTGGAGTCCCGGGATCGAGTCCCACATCGGGCTCCCTGCTCGGCAGGGGGTCTGCTTCTCCCTCTGCCCTCTTCCCTCTCGTGCTGTCTGTCTCTCATTCTCTCCCTCTCAAATAAATAAATAAAATCTTTAAAAAAAATAAAATAAAAAAAAATAAATTCCAGTTAGTGTAATGTAACTTTCAGGTATACAATTTAGTGATTCAACACTTCCATACAACACGCAGTGCTCATCACAACAGGTGCACTCCTTACTCCTAAAGGGCTTGGTTCTTAATGAATATACTACTCCAAATTAAAAGCTACAAGCTTTTCTGGACTTTATTATGCTATAAGCTGAAAATTAGTATACATGTAAGGCTTCCCCAACTATCTATATTTGAGGCCTGGTATGCTGTCTGGTTTTTGATCCAGT